ATGGTTGGAGTTTTAACTGGTGGCTCATCTTTCCTTAAATCACAGAAGCAATCTATTCTATTTCTCATAGCTCGACCTAGACCACAATCATTACAATGCGGTAGAGCATCATTATCAAAATCCTTTTGCATTCAATACAGATATATGCAATGTCAGCATAATCATTATTGCTAATATTGTAAGATAATATTTTGTAAGTAGCATTTAAACTTTTTCGAAAGAGCAAAAATTGCAATGTCATTTATCTCCTTTTTAACTCAATAGCTTGGTATTCTAATTTCATTGTTTATCCGTTTGTAAGATGTAAGCATTGAATTTCTCTTGAATTATTGCTTTTGCTTGCTTAATTCTGCTTTTTACTTTGTTAGTTAGGAGTTAAATTTGTTTTGTTTCTTTGGTAAAGTTGGCAGTTCTTGAAGTTGCATGTTTGTTAAATAATTCTGCCATGCCACAACATTTTCTAGCATCTCTATTTTTCTCGAAGTTTTTTCTAAGTTGTCAGCTTTTTCTTTGCTTTGTCTTACTCTTCATTTTCTAGCTACTCCGAGAGCATCTAAATGAGTAGTGTACAAATAGGGTTTCTGGCACAGTTTTTTTCTTAGACTTTTTTCTCCGAGTTGGTTAGTAATACCGCGCGCGGAGCGCGCGCTCCGCGCAATTGCACAGGCTAGCAAGACAAGTTTAAAAATTATTAGACCTACTTGGCCTAAAACAAACGTAAACTGGATAAAAAATTCTATCAAATTAGAAGCTAAATTGTAAAAAATTCATAAACCTAATAAAAACTTCGCTGCTGTATGGTTTAATTAGGTGCTAAATCGTAGTGCTACCACAAAAAATTCATAAACCTAATAAAATATTTCGTCACATTAGGTGCTAAATCGTTAAAAAATTACAAATCTAATAAAAATTTTAACCGAGTTAGCTAGCAAAGGCGCGCGATAGCGCAGGCTAGCAAGATAAGGTTAATAAAAATTTCGCTGAATTAGTTAACAGGGACACACGTGAAGGCCGTACGGCAGCGTGAAGCACAGATAAGTCTAATAAAAATTATTGGTTTACCGAAGAATTACCATTTGCAAGACGGCTAAGGCGCAACCTGTGATAGTACTGGACACATAATACCTGATTAATTATTTTCCAATATGTCAAATAATTAATTGAACAAAAAGATTTTATAAGTAATATATAACAAACTTATTAGATATTATCATGGTTAGAAAAGATAAGAAAAATCGTACTTGTGAACGATGCGGACGTGAATTCTCATCTCCCCAAATGCTTCGATCACATCTTAATTGAAAAAACCCATGCCGTCCTCGAGACCTAATGCCAGCCCCTCAACCAGGACCTGAGTCAGAAATTGAGACTGATCCACCTTCAGTATCTGAATCAAATAATCAGGAGGAATTATGGACAAAATTTTTAAAATACTTGGGTATAACAGACGAATTGCAAAGCGAGGATACTCCCACATCTGACGAAATTTGGTCAGAATTAGGTGGTACTCTATTGGCAGACAAGGTAAAAAGCAAAAATTTTCGATCACTACATTGCGATCATGGTATTGTTAATATTTATGTTGAGCCACCCAAAGGAGATCCAGAAAGACTCCACAGATTCCTCCAATCAATGAGCAAATGGCAGGCAATAGTTTCGTCAATAGAAAACCCAGCATACGAATTCAATATTCCCATAGAAGACGGTCAAAAATATGCAGAAGTGCCATATACAGTATCTCACAACTCATGGCATCAACCAGGGAACAAATTTCAAGGGTTCTTAAGGCGGAACTTAGAAAAAAAGGTCAAATAAAATCCGCAATAGTAGTATATTGTAATTATACGCAAAAATGTCTAAATAAAGAGGGCGAGGTGGATAGAGACAGTAAGTGTAAACAAGAATACCATAGAGGTAAAATGCGGGTAATTCTTTCAGAACAGGATATAGATGAACACATTTTTCTTACAGCGGGGGAAATAGATAAAAAAATTGAGGAATTTTTAAGAAGTGGATCAGGATGGACACTTATCCGAATAGAAATGATGTTTATTGAGGCTTATACATTACGACGAGCAGAAAGTGGATCATATAGACCGACACCGAAAAACCTCGCAAATAAAAAATGTACCATAAATCCCGATAATTCTAAAACAAAAGATGATTTATGTTTAAAATATGCTGTTGGCGCATATTTTGCTAATTATGAGGGAATAACAAAAAATTTACAACGTCTTTCAATAATCCAACCATATTTGAATAGAGTTAATTTGGATGGAATTCCAATGCCAACTCCGATTTGTAATCGTACATTCCAAAAAATCGAAGCGCAAAACCCTGCTATTTCTATCAATGTATGGGAATGGAAAAACGAGACTGCAACTCCCAAGCCGGTAATTGCAAGTAAGAATTTCTATATTCCAAATTCCTGTACAATTGACGGTTGTATCCATTCTAACCCAAATAAATGTCACAAAAAAAGACCTCATGTTATCTACCTAATGGCGCTTAGTGATACAATGAAGACGGATGGTAAGTACGGGATAAAAAACCATTTTCTTTGGATTAAAAACCCGGATGCGTTAATATTCAAGGATACAAAATATAAGGGCAAAAACATCTCTGCAATCGATGTTTTCAAAGCTGGTCATCTGAAAAATCATTGACACATCATCAGAAATGGTGTTTTTCGGATTAGGGGAAGCCCCACAAAAAGTTTCGATGCCTGAAAAGGGTAAAAATGACATCGAAAAATTCAAAAATTACGCGAGAATGATTTACGCTCCATGTGTAATAACTGCAGATTTCGAGTCGGATAATAAAAAATGCGATAAATCTTATGGTGGTAATATGCGGAAATTTGCGGAACAAAAGGCTGTTTCTGTTACACAGTTCATTGGATAGATACTGGTGAAACATGGGGCCCATTTATATATCGGGGACCGAATGCTACACAGGAATTTGTCAAAAGAATCGACAGTGAATTGGTTCGAATTAATGAGGTATTAGCTATTAAGGTTGGACGTATAGTAACCGATGAATATCAGAGAAAATTTGATAAGGCTGATAAATGTTGGATTTGTCATAAAGAATTAAATGGGGATAAAGTCTGGGATCACTGCCACATTACCAGTAAGTTTCGAGGGGCATTACACAATGACTGTAATTTAAAACTCCAAATTACGCCATGGAAAACACCGGTTCCAATAGTATTTCATAATTTCCGAGGTTATGATTCTCATCTAATCTGCGAATCAGTAGGACGTTCAGTTAACGCCAAACAAATCAATGTTATCGCGGAAACTTTCGAACGCTATAAGTCCATGAGAGTAGGTCAATTGCGATATATCGATAGCATGCAGTTTATGAACACATCCTTAGCCAAACTCGCAGAAAATTTAGGTGCAGTAAAATGTAAGGAATCAAACTGCAAACATTTCCACCGGATAGATGATAATCGATGTTTCGGTACTCTCGAAAATCATAAAATTACATGTCAAATTTACAAAAATTTATCTCCGAAACAGATTGCATTGGTATGTCGCAAAGGTGTATATCCGTATGAATATATTGATTCGCATGATAGATTTAGTGAAACCGAACTTCCGCCATTCCATGAATTTCATGGCAAGCTTAATGGTAAAATCAGCCAGAAAGATTATGATTATGCGCAAAAAGTTTGGAATGAATTCGGGTGCAAAAATTTAGGTGAGTAGCATGACTTATATCTTAAAACTGACGTACTTGTACTTACAGATATCTGGACTAAATTCCGGGAGACGTCAATGAAATATTATAAACTCGATCCAAGTCATTATGTATCAGCCCCTGCCTT